TGCATGTTTAAATTTCCGATTACTTATTGTTCTTGACTCTAGTATGTGATGGTTTTGGATGGTTGTAATAACATGTTCATGCTGAAATGCCATTTGTTTTCATGTGATTTACCAACTCAACACATGATGGATCTTGATAATTCTTTATAAGCATGTCATTGTTGAAGTTTTGGGTCCAGGGTTGCTTTTGTTCTCACATGATGGATTTGATGATTGTTTTCATAAGCATGCCATTGCTGAAATTTTGGGTCTTAGGTTGCTTTTCTTCTTATCATGTGGGTTTGATGGTTTTGAAAGCATTCCCATTGCTGAAATTTCCGGATTTTGGATTTTCTTTGATCCCCAACATGTGAAAAATGTTGGTTTTAAAAGCTCTCTCATTGCTGAATATTCTGTTAGTCCCAAGTATGTGAAACATGTGGGTTTTAAAAGCATCCCTATTGCAGAAATTTATGGGTTGTGGGTTCTCTTTGACCCCAACATGTGAAAAATGCAAGTTTTGGGATTATGTTCATTGCTGAATTTTTGGGTGTTAGTGTTTTATTATTTCTAGAATGTGAAAAATGATGATTTTTAAAGCATACCCATTGCTGAAATTTCTAGGTTTGGGTTCTCTTTGGTCTCAAAATGTGCGAGGAATGCATGTTTTTAAAATCATTACATTGCTAAAATTTCTGGGTTTTGGGTTCTCTTTGATCCCAAAATGTGAGGAATACATGTTTTTGGAATCATAAGATTGCTGATTTTTTGGGGTTTTGGGATCTCTTTGATCCCATTATGTGGAAAATGCATGTTTTTGGAATCACAATATTGCTGAAATTTCTGGATTTTGGGTTCTCTTTAATTCAAATGTGTGAAGGGTGTTTGATTTAAAAGCATGTTCTATGCTGAAATTTCTAGGTTTTGAGAACTCTTTAATTCTACTATTCAAGTAGTGCATGATTCTAGAATCATCCCTATGCTGAAATGAGAGGTTTTATGTGGCTTTTGAACTCCTTTGTGATGGATGTGTTGATCTAAGGACTTGTTTTAAATGCTGAATGACATACTTCTTGATGGATGTTGAAAGGTTGATATTTACAAATAAGCATAATGGTTCTTTGATCAAATTATAGCGTTGAAAGCTTGGTGTTTATAATCTTGGAAAATCATCTATGCTGAAATGTGGTTTCTCACATGTTTCTTGGAAACAATGTTTGAATGAAACAAACTTTTGGGGATGGGGTTCTTTGATGAAATAAGCTACACATGCTAGATTCAAGAATGTGAATAATGCATGCAAAAAGGGTTGGGTGTTTGGGCTGAAATAAAAAGACTCATGTTGATCACTTAGGCTAATAGGAAACATGTCACATAATGAGAAAGCCTAAAATTTTAATCTTGGAGCTCAAATAAAATATGCAAATTGGGGTTAGGATGAGAGCTTTGGGGTCTTCTAACTTTAGGTTGATAGGTGAGTAGTGTAATTAGATGTTCCTAGGGTAATCATGAATAAAATGCAAACAAATTGGGTATCATGTTTTGTGAGGTAAGGGGTTACACTTGGATGATTCCAGCTTACGTGGGGCTATATTAATTGTTGTTTTCAGCTTAAAACAGTTTAGGAACTCATAAAAAATCTAGATTGAATCACCTATTCAGAAGCCAATGTCATGGATATCACCCCACCTAAGCTTGGAATCAATAGAGCTTGAAGTCCTCGCATCTACGTTTGAATGTCCAGCAAAGTCTCCCTCTCATATACATACAAAAGGTTTGTAATTTAATTCGTGTACGTGGATGTCCTGCAAAGAGATCGTACCGTGATCCAGGGCACATTCTTTTCGAGTTCACATGTGGGGCCACCCCAAAATGTCATACAGTACATCCCAACCATGTAGTGGAAACATTTCCTGATGACAATTATGGGAGTTTTCAATGCACGTGGGGCGTTGATGTGATCTCATTTCATCCCTGTAGTAATCGGTTAATTCCAATTTGAAAACCGAGCTTTATATTTAGTTGTGGACTAACTAAAAGTACTAAACCTGATTCTAGTGTTAACCCTGGGTTTATTTTCACTTTCGACTGCTCCTTTTAAAATTTCAAATTTCGCCATTTTCTTACTCACACGAAGCTTTCCCAAGTTTCAATTTCAGTTGTAGGGACAACCATTAAAGTTTTGGGTCATTTCTGTCCCTCAACCTCATCCTCAGGAATTGAAGCAAAGTGGTCTCTCCATTTACTCAAATCTTCCCCATTTTCTTCTTTTCATCTTGGTTTTCTTAATGGGTATTAGATTTGCTCTTTTATGGAAAATCTGATGGTTTATCACTCTAAAAATCTTGTCTTCTGGCGTACACGTAGGTTTTTGTACGCCATTTGTTCTTATAATCCTGTTTTTTCTTCCAAGAATGGATAATAATGCACAAATCAACAGACAGATTATTTAGACCAGCCCCAATGGCGTCGGTGCTCTTTCGACGTGGATTTGTTGGGGGTGTACATGATATCGAACAAGGGGGAAGACTATTTGGCTCGCCTACAACTTTGCTAGTTGTAGATTCTTGCCCATTTCCATTTCCATAGCTCTTTAGAAATTACTTAAGGAGCGTGAATCAAGCATTTGCACACACAAGTTTTTGAAAATCACTCTTGTCTCTCTCAGTCCGATCTGCTACTCTCACACAGAAGGTTTCTTCGGAGACTCTTCAACTTTGCTAGTTGTAGATTCTCGCCCAAGGCTCTATTGTATCCTGGGAACGAATTTGCTTGTAACCCAACATCAAACTCAATGTAACTGAATGGGGGCAAATAACGTTCTAAAGACAGTGTCTTTAGATGTGCCTCAGAGCTTCTCCTCCATGTTTCAATGACCCCAATTCCCAACAGTTCCCCATGGAAATGGAGATCCGAACAAGTTCTGGGCATCGCTATTGCTTAGCCTTGAAGGAAAGCGGAACAAGTTCCTTGAATCTCCATCACCAAATCTTAAAGGTGATCCAAAAAGGACCCTTATGTCGTCCTTGTTGAGTGCAGGCGAGCCAAATAGTCTTCCCCCTTGTTCGATATCATGTACACCCCCAACAAATCCACGTCGAAAGAGCACCGATGCCATTGGGGCTGGTCTAAATAATCTGTCTGTTGATTTGTGCATTATTATCCATTCTTGGAGGAAAAAACAGGATTATAAGAACAAATGGCGTACAAAAACCTACGTGTACGCTGGAACACAAGATTTTTAGAGTGATAAACCATCAGATTTTCCATAAAAGACCAAATCTGATACCCATTAAGAAAACCAAGATGAAAAGAAGAAAATGGGGAAGATTTGAGTAAACGGAGAGACCACTTTGCTTCAGTTCCTGAGGATGAGGTTGAGGGATAGAAACGACCCCTTAACTTCAATGGCTGTCTCTGCAACTGAAATTGAAACTTGGGAAAGTTTCATTCTAGTAAGAAAATGCCGAAATTTGAAATTTAAAAAGAGCGGTCGAAATTGAAACTAAACCCAGGGTTAACAATTGACTCAGGTTTAGTACTTTTAGTTAGTTCACAGCTAAAGATAAAGCTCAATTTTCAAATTGGAATTAACCGATTACTGCAGGGATGAATTAACTGATTACCGATTACTTCAGGTTTAGTACTTTTAGTTAGTATGGAGGCTTGAGATAGTACAACGTTCACGCGTGTGTGTGGCGCAATGAGGCACTTTAGAGGTGCACTTTGCTCCCGAACGACAGCTTTGACTTTTGGTGCGAGGCTGACTGTTGGAACATCAACGGTTATGATTCGATCGGGTGTGATCAAGTGGCACAATTCAAAGGGACTACCACAAGTATGTGTCCTATGCCTGAAGAATGGGAAAAATACCAACCATCTCCTTTTGCATTGCTCCTGTGCCTCTCTAGTGTTGGCAGCATCTTTTCCCCATTGGGTTGGAAGAGATTGTGTGGTGCCTCCTCCTAAAGTGGCAGATTTGTTTAGTTCAGGTGTGATGAATGGTTCTACATGGAGGCAAAAAATTTTTGTAGTAATGTAATGTGTATATGGAGCAATATTATGGGGACTCTGGTGTGAAACAAAATGCTAGGATATTTAAAGAAAAACACAAAGCAGTTTGAGGAATTGATTGAATTCACAATGATAAGAGCTGCTCATTGGGCTCTGATTTGTGAAGAATTTAATGAAGTAAATCTTAATGAGGAAGGCATGTTGTTACTTGACATCAGATTAATGAGCCCCAAAAGGGTGATAATATTGGTCTCCACTAGTGGCAGGGAGGTGTAAACTAAAATTTGATGGGTGCTATTTGGGTAATCTGGGTATGTCTAGAGTGGGGGGAGATGTTAGGGACCACCAGAGCAATGCAATCCTATGTTTTTTGGGTCCTGCTGGTTTTGGGAATTCCTAAAGGGCAGAATTAACAGTGATGCAGGGTTTGAGAGTTGTGGAAGTGGAGAATGAATGCTAAACAGGTTATAGGTTGGATGAGATTTCAGAGCCAGATTCGTGGCAGTTCAGGCCTATGGTGAGTTTGTCTCACTTGCTTGGTTCAAATTTGAACAACTCATTCAACTGGGAATCATAGGAGTGTTAACATGTTGGCAGATTCTTTAGCAAGAGCTGGGATTGGAAGTGACTCCCTTGAATGGGGTTGTTTGGGCTGGGCGGTAATGTGTAACGGTTCTCTCTCTTTTTCTCTTTATTACTTTTTAGGCTTTTGTTTGGAAGCTGTCCTGCTGCCCATTTGTTTTGAGCAGCTGGTGTTTGCTTCCAATTAATCAATTGATTTCTGTTATTTATAAAAAAAAAGAACAGTTGATGGATAGGGGTTTTGTCTTATGCATTTAATTCCACTCTCTCCCAAGTTCATATTGGCATGAGGAAGTGCGAAAAACTGTCTTTTCCCTTTCTTCTGTTGTCAGTTTTTTTAAACTTATTTATTTTTGGTTGGTTAATATAATTATGTGCTGTTATATTCTGCTGTTTGTTAACATTCTTTTTTTTTTCCTGGGCAGATGGGTCCCTGGTTGTAACATACCAATTTTAACACTGTTGAGCCTGTTAGGGGCAAGTTGAGTGCATAAACCATTAGTTTGCAATGCTGTTCTGAATGCTGTGATGGTCCAACACAAAAGGATGTTTTCAATCGTCAATTATGCTCTTTCTGTTGCTCGGAATAGATGTTTAATCTGCAACTGGAGGATGGCTTCTTAATGCCGAGCTTTGTTACATTTGAGTAATTGTTGAATATTGTTTCTTCATACTGTTCCTTGATTGAAAGTGTAATGGGTATGCCATGATCCATGAGAAATATTTGCTTCACTGGGAGATGAGCGGACATGAGTAGGTTGTCATTCAGGCCTCGTCCTCTAGACATTCATAAAAAGATTCAAATTGTTAAATCTATTAAAGACTTTGAAGATGAGGAGGCGACAACTTCTACACGTAATTCACAGTTACTTCGTTTTGCTGCAGAGGCTGATAATGAGGTAACCCTTATGTCCTGATATTTCCACTTATGCTCTGATGCATCTGTTTCAATTGCTTATTCTGCAACATATGTCTGATAGCCAACTTTGTGCTTCTTCAAAAGTGCCATTTTGTATTTTGTTCCCTTAATCACTAGAAAATATAGACATATTGCCCTTTATTTCAGCTTTGCATAGAAAACATTTTTCTTTGTCCAACTGGCTAATCTAAATTGTACTGTAATAGATATAGATCGTTGTTTGGGATTGAAGGAGTGTTCATTTGTTGTATGGTTCAACTGAACCTGTTGCTTCTTCTATTGTTTTCTTCATAGTTGTCAAGGGATCACTTAGGTGATAAGCATTTCTTGAGGGTTGCTTTATGTGGATGCCTCAAAATATAGGAATGGATTGCACTCACTTAGTTCAGAGGGTGCCCACCTAGACTTGCCAAATGACAAGATGGGCACCTTATGCCATTTTTTTTTGAGTAACACTTGAACTTTCTACCAAAAGAAAGTAACATTTGAATTTTACAAATGTAATAAAAGAATAATTTATAAACAGTGTGCCAAGCATTCCATATGATGGCTGGTAGATACCATGTAAGACAAAAGATTATGATCTTATAATTGAGCTCAGAACAGTTGGTCCTAGAGATGGAGAGGCTTCTTGAAGCAGTGCAAGATAACCGGGTTGTTTCAGTGGGTCAAACTGTATCATGTGACCACTTAATGTGTCACATGCATGGGCTTGAAGGGGGGGGGGGGTTAAGTCCTTGGGCCCAGTTTGAAGATGGATGCTTGGTAGTCCTTAATAGGAGTCTATCTTAGCCTTCAGTGATCTCAGCAAGGGATGATATAGGAAATCAGAAAAAGAACAGGCCTGTAAGGAATGATATAGAGATAGCTGGTGCTGAAAGGGGGGGTTAAGTCCTTGGGCCCAGTTTGAAGATGGATGCTTGGTAGTCCTTAATAGGCGTCTATCTTAGCCTTCAGTGATCTCAGAAAGGGATGATATAGGAAACCAGAAAAAGAACAGGCCTGTAAGGAATGATATAGAGATAGCTGGTGCTGAAACAGGGGGGGGTAGGTTCTTGGGCCCAGTTTGAAGATGGATGTTTGGTAGACCTTGTTTTGCGGGGAACGGAATGGAAGGGAGAGAGAAGTTCACGGCTGCAATGAATGGAAAAGGGAGTTGCAGGATGAGGCTAGGAGGATGATTTTTGAAGAATGCAGAAACCAGGGCAAATGTACTTTGAAAATCAGGGAGAAGAGGAAAGCTACAATACTACTGGTTGGAGAAGCTGCACAGTGGTTGAAGGGTTTTGTTGATGGGGCAATCTTCTCTGTTAGAATGCATGGTTGGAAAAACTCGTTGAGTGTTACAAGCAGGATATATGAAGCAGGGCTGAGGTGTCAAGGGATGGTTTGTAACAGTAATAGAGTTCTTTAAAGGAGGTAAAAGGCAAATGGTTTGTCTGCCAGAAGGGTAGGGATGCTGTGGCTGGAAGCTAGTCAATGAGAAGATACGGCTGCACCTGATTCATTTTGAAGAAGGAAATATGGAGGATCAATTGATTGAAGAGGATGCTGATGTTGCTCAGTCTAAGGGGGTGGAGGAGAAGCCGGGCTGTGATATGGATGACTCTTCTTCAAGCGATGGTCAACGAAAGGTACATGGTTGGTGATTGTTGCAAATTCTCACAGGGTACCAAAAATGGCGATGGAGGTGGAAAGAGGGGATTGGGAGAAGAGGTATGTAATCACTGCAAGTGGGAAAATCAACGACTAGAGATCAGTTTTGGATACGGTGGTGAAAAAACTTTAGATCAAGAATGCAGTGGCGATTCTACCTTTCGGTGATAACAGTGTTATAATTCAGGTCTGCCTTAGAGTTCGGCCTGACTGAGTTCAGTTATGTAGAAGAAGAAAAAGTGATAAAGAA